GGTTTAAGAGATATTGTTGTTAAAGATACTCTAACAACGCTTAATTACAGCTTTTAGAAACTAGATTGCTTCCTATTTGGAGAAAGTTTTTAACCTATTTCATATTATATAAATTAAACTTGTCACACTCGATGAAAACATAATGATTCTTATGCTGTAGCATTCCCGTCAAATGTGCCCAATACTGATAATATCTTTCGACAACAAATCAAATTTTGCATATCGATTCCTAATGATTTCCCGTAAAATGTGCGTAATAATATTAATAATATCTCTTGATCATGAATATTCTCGGAAGTTTCCCAGAAAATTCCCATTTCATCAAAATGCATAAAGAAAAATCAAATATGAACGCGCAAGTTAGTCTAAAGCACCGGCCAAAAGCCAACTCCTCGCACATAATCAGTAATGTGTTGGATATTATTATCCACTTTTACTAATTAAAGCAGCACAATATTTATATTTATCCAAGAAAAAGTGGTGGTGTTATTCACACTAACTAGTACGTACCCCGTGCGATGCACGAGACAGAGATATTAAATGAGTTATTTTCACCCCCTTGTTTGTTTAAGTCTAAAAAATAATAGGGTTATTATCTATTTTCTACCTGTCTTAATCAACGTTATGTCTAAAAAACAATAGGGTTATTATAAGTCTTTTTTCCACATCTTTTAACCTGCGTTGTTTTTTTAGTCAGAATATTATATATGAGCATATTATATCTGAGCATGTTAGGGCTATCTTGTAAAATAATTAATATATTATCTCATTAAAACATTTATACTAATAAAAATTTAATTTTAGTATATAAATTTATCCCTTGATATAAGAGAAAATAGCAGTTTTACTTATTGTTGTTCACTATATAATATTTAATTATTATTTTATTATATAATAAAAAGAATACTATTAAATAGTGTAGTAGAACTGTTATAAAATTATATGAATTATTTTTTTTTTTACAAGATGGATTTAATATCTTTTTATGATTTGATAATAAAACTATAATATATTCTTAATGATATAATAATATGAGATACAGATTTACATAATACTATAGATTTATTCTTTAATGATAAGATATTGAATAAGTTAATATATGATTCACTAATTTGTAATCTGTCTCTTTTTATATTGAAAATAATCATGTGATTGAGTAGATATAACAATTATAACAATTATCTATAAATTCCTTCATTTAAGGAATAATTTTTTAATTGGTCCAAGTGTTGAATGCAGCCTGATTTTTTTGTAACTAAAATGAGAAGAGATTTTGAATTTCAAATTTTCAATTCAAAACCATACGTAAATTTGGATGCATATTTTATTAAAAATAAAATGAGAAGAGATTTTGAATTTCAAATTTTCAATTCAAAACCATACGTAAATTTGGATGCATATTTTATAAAAAATAAAATGAGAAGAGATTTTGAATTTCATATTCACTTCAATATCTGTCGAAATTTTCAAAAATGAAATCAACAAAACCCATAATTTTAGGGGCATTCGATGGTACCCTATTTTATGATTTAAAATATCTAAAACTTTATAAATATAGTGTGCAATTAATTATGAGTTGACTTTTCTTCTTACTAATTCTAGTAAATGGGATAGCTTTTTATATAAGTATAGATGTAGATTTTCATGATGTAATAATTTAAATCATACTGTGCAATAGAATTGCATAGGTTAGGACTTAGGAGTACCTTAAAAAATGTATCTGGACAAAATTGGGTGCATAAACCAAAAAAGTGTAATTCTGGATTATATCTACACTTTCTAGAAGAGACAAATTTTAGCAACTATGAAATTAAATTAGTTACTTCACATTTTTTAAAAATCATAGACTAATATTAACAAACCCATCGAAAAAATAATTGTACAGCTCAATCGAACAACTAGCAAAGCTGAATCTAGAAGAACTACTCACACACAATCTTAATCTTAAGCCCATAACACAACACTAAAACTAAAAACAAAAATTATCAATCTCCCAAAAGAAAGAATTCAATACTCCAATAATTAAGATTGCAATACTTTCAACACAAGAACAAAAAAAAATAATAATAATAAAAAATAGTAATCGTGTGTCGTTTATGTGGTTATTACATGAATTTCGTTGTGAGGGATTATTATTATTATTATTATTATTATTATTATTATTATTATTATTATTATTATTTTGGCACTCAAAATGTAGGAAAATACGTGTTCAACATATTAAGTGTGAATATGTGAAGTAACTTTCACATGCCTCAAGTTGCAGGCATGTGTTTTGTTTACAAATCCGTACAAAATTGTACTTTGTTTACTTTATCAGTCGTTAACCTTTCCCTCTTCGATTTTCCTTTTATGACCAAACGTTTGGATATAAAAAAAATTAGATTTGTTTGGATGTTTTAATTTAGTTTGATTAATTTTAAAAAATATGGTATGGTTAAATATTAGTGGATATATTAAAATAATATTTAAAATAAAATAATTAAAGTTAATATGATGTAAAAATAAAAGATAGATAGTTTGAAATGATGATTAGTTAAAAATTATGTAAGTGGATGAATAGTGAATTAGAGTTGATGTGATGTATAAAAATGATTGGTTGATATTATTTAATTATATTGATTATATTAATGATAATTGGATTGAGTTTAAATTGAATTAAAAAAATAGTTTAATTAAAAATAATAGGATTTTTTAAATAAATTTATATCAAGCACCGTCTAATTAATTTGGACTAACGACTCCTTGACAGCCTGCAGACTTTGAATTAAAGTGACCAGTTAAATAATTATATTAATAAAAGGTAGAGCTTTTATTAGTAGGTACTTGCAGCTTTCAACAAATATATTAATAAAAGGTAGGGCTTTTATAGACTAATCAGCTTGAATCTTAAGCATGCCTGCACTCAAATGATCTGTGCTTTTGTGCAAATCAAACTGGAAATAGAGAAAACAATGGGTCCCCTGACAGAACAAAATGTCTACCATGTTAGGCTGCACCAATCAGAAGCAACCACGTGATCGTGATAAACTCATCAGAAGATTTTTCTTACAAAATAAAATAATGTTCAAATTTCAACCGACGACGGCACATGGCGTCCCACGTTCACACGGGCAGCTGAACCCTGTTTTTTCTTTTTCGTACCATATTTTGATGTTTTACTTCGCACTTTCTAATAGAAAAGTATACTCTGCATAATGTATATTGCTTTCCTCATTTAAATATTTCATTTTTCATATATAATTTAAATTACGAGCATTTTTTCCTTCAATTTTCTGAGGAAAAAAAAGGACATTCAGGTAGTATTTTTTTCATAAAGGAACAAAAGCTAATATTCATAAAAAACTAACGACAAATATTGGGATACTCGGTAGGCCTTGTGTTTGGCATCGAGCTCGAGCTCGATTTCAGACTCGTTTATTTAACGAGCTGAGCTCGGCTTGGCTCGTTGACAAGGCTAAGTATAAAAATGCATTCGGTTCATCTAATAAGTAAACTGCATCATACAAAAATTTGTCTACCGATACTATTAATCCGTGACGCCATGTATTAATGTGATCATTAATTCCTACAACATTACAACAATCAAATGCTTATATACAAATAGTCAAATCCTCTCTCATTATCTTCCCAAATTTGCCACCGACGCTCCCCAATTTTCTTTATAAAAAAGACGCTCCCCACAAAAGCATTTGAGAAAACAAATTTCATTACCACATCAAAAGCCACAAACTATCACTTGTTTCCTATCAGCCATGATTCCCATCTTCTTGGTCCTGTTATCCTTCTTACCAAACACCGCCTTATCCACTACATTTCATTCCTTCAAAAAGCTTCAGCTCCCTTCACCTGGCTGTGAGGCCTACACCTTTGATAAAAACAATGGCGGGCCTTACACGGGCCTCAACGATGGCCGGATCGTGAAATACGACGGGCCCAAAACCGGTTTTGTGGAGTACGCCACAACTGTGTCTAATAGGTAAATATTAAATAATTCTCTGTTTTCCTCTGTTTTTTCTTTTTGCTTGTTCTTATGAAAGATTAGATTTTTTCTTTTTTTTTTCTCTCTCTTTTTCTTTTATGTTAAATGTCATTTGTTTATTTATTTATTTATTTTATTTCAGATCGAAAGAATTGTGCGATGGGACACACGGCGACGTGAACATCGGGAGGCGATGCGGAAGGCCGCTCGACATGGAATTCAACCACAAAACCGGGGAGCTTTACGTAGTCGACCTTTTCCAAGGTTTGATGGTCGTGCCACGTGGTGGCGGCGTGGCGCGCCAGCTGGCGCAAGGCGACGGCATGCCGGTCGACGCTCCCGATGCCATCGCCATCGACCCGATTACCGACGAGGTCTATTTCACCGATATCGGCACAATCATCTTCACGAACCCGTATGGTTTTTGTTAACTTACTACGATTTTATTTTTATTTTTATTTTTTTTCGATTTTGAAGTTATTTTGAATAAATTGGTAAATTTAAATATTTATGACAGCAACATGACCGAAGTCCTCATGAGTGGGGACAAGAGCGGGAGACTACTCAAATACGACCCGAAAACGAAAAAACGCACGATTGTCCTTACCGGGCTCGCGGGGCCCGCAGGGGTGGCCGTGAGCAGAGACGGCTCGTTTGTGGTGATAGCCGAGTATTTGGCGTGCCGAATCACGAGGTTGTGGCTCAAGGGCCGGAGGGCCGGTCAGACGGAGGTTTTCGCGGAGCTCCCGGGTAATCCGGACAACATCAAGAGAACGAGGTCGGGCGATTTCTGGGTGCCGGTCAACATACAAAAGTTGTACCCTAGGCTGACTAGTTTTCCATTAGGTCAGAAGATTAACCCGAGAGGACAGATTACGCAGACTGTGAATTTCTATAATGAGTATAACTCGACGTATATTACCGAGGTGCACGAGCATGGTGGGTCGTTGTACGTCGCGTCGGTTTATACGGGAGTCGTCGGGGTTTATCGAGGGTTAAGATGTTGAGCATATAGTTCTTTTTTTCCTTTGTTTACTTGATGTAGTATTTTGATTTGATTTGGATCACTAGGAGAGGATTTTGATTGTTGTGATTATTATATAGGGAAATGGTATGGTCCCGGTACAGTACCATCTCGTCGGGTGTTTTAATTGTTAGAGCAACTTCAATGCTATGGTTTTGAAAGGCAATGATTTTTAACACGTGTCAATTAATGATTGTAATGTTAATCTACGTAGGAATAATGTTAAAAGACTAAAAATTTTGAATCAAACTAGTATTTCATCAATTTGATAAATAGTTATTTGTATATGTGGACCAATTATAATAATTAATTGATACAAGAATAATAAATAAGTAAACCAAATATAAAGTGATAAATGAGTCATCATTTTTAATATGGTGTTAGATATTAGAAAATAAGTTCAACATTGTCAACATTAAATGTCATCCACATCATCATGAAAGAGCTAATGGCAAGATGCATTGGAGAATAAATTAGTAACAAACTTTTAAAAGTTGATGATATGAATAATTTTTTACAATGTCAAAAGTCACATTGTAGATGTTCTTAGATCATCTATCTTATACTAACTATATGTGTATTTAACGGTTAAAACTCCCAACGGGATGGTTCCTAACGGAACCGTAACATTTCCCATTTATATATTGTGTTGGGGATTATATATCATTTATTTATTGCTAAAATATAGTTTATTTTGTGAGTGGTGAAAGTAGGGATTCAATTTCCCGGATAACGGTAACTTGCAAGCCATTGCCAATGGTATTACTTTTAATAGTCCAAAGCCAATTAAATCACTACTCACTAGAAATAGAATAGTAGCCACTCACTTGGGAATTGGGGTAGGTGTGCGTTTTTCCTTTTT